CACTTGGTTCAGTAAATGGGAAATTATTTCAGCTGCAGAGACTAAGTCCCATTCGGCGATGGGACTTGAGTAGATTTTCAGCCTGAAATAGACCGACCTCACAGCCCAAATCTATGGAACTGTTTTGGGCAGGAAAATGTGCTTGCGGTCGGTCATAAAGGGACCTCAGCTAACTTTTTAACCCCTGGATGGATTTGGCTGATTTTTGGTTATGTTTATGTTTTAAGTGTGCTGATTCCAAATATGTAATTATGAAGATGGGATGTGTAGTTTTTAAAGTTACAGTGTATGGCTAAAAACTGTATTTTTACTGCCTGTGTTTAATTATGTTAATCTCTTCCCAAACGTCATTTCGTTCAAAGTGGAGAGAATGTTAAAAAAATATATTTTTGTTGAGTGTGAGAAATGCTTTTCAGCCGCTTCTAATCTTAAGCATCATTTGAGGAGCCATACAGGAGAGAAACCTTATTTGTGGTGTGTTTAGTATTGTTCACCGTCAGTTTAATACCTTCAGCGTCTCACCATCAGTGGTGCGTGTATATGGCAGCCATTTTAGGAACCGTACACCTGGGACCGAGCAAGGTCACCTCGTTCAACAGGCGACAACATTTGTCCCTGGAAAACTATCCTGGACATTCTGTACAATTTGTATGGATATGGCAGTGATTTCTGTAACAGGGAGATGGAAGAAGATGCTCGGTCGGTCCTCTTAATTCAAATTTGGGGCACTGCGCGGTCAAGCTAATGTGCCACCAGATAGGAGTGGTGTGTTTAGTATTGTTCTGATCAGTTTAATACCTTCCGCGTCTCCTATCGGTGGGCGTGTACACGGCATTGATTTTTATCTAAGCCCGTAAACTTTTGCAGTATATTACTGCCATTGAAAAGGAGTGCATGGCGGTGGTGTGGGCTATAAAGCTGCAACCTTACTTGTATGGACAACCGTTTACCTTACTCACAGATCACACATTAAATTTGGGGCACTCTTTGGCAGATGCAAGCCTAATGTGACACCAGATAGGAGTGGTGTGTTTGAGTACTATTTTTATCAGTTTAATACCTTCAGCGTCTCCTATCAGTGTGGGCGTGTTATGTATACATTTTAGGAACCCATTACACCTGGGACCGAGCAAGGTCACCTCGTTCAACAGGCTTGCAAGCACGTATCCTCAGGAAGAGCCTGAACCCTTACGGCTGCACGTGTCTTACCTGTACATGGAAAGCTGCTGTGGTTCCTTGATGAGCCAGCTGCCCGTGAGTTAACATGTCCGATGGAGAAGCACTCTGTCCTGTAAAGCCTCACACCAAAAAAAAAGAGTGGTGTGTTTTAGTATTGTTCGTCTAGTTTAATACCTTCCGCGTCTCCTATCAGTGGTCGTGTACACGGCATTGATTTTTGTAACAGGGAGATGGAAGAAGAGGCTTGGTCGGTCCTCTTACTGCAAATTTGGGGCACTCCGCGGTCAAGCTAATGTGACACCAGATAGGAGTGGTGTGTTTACTATTGTTCTGATCAGTTTAATACCTTCCGCGTCTCCTATCAGTGGTCGTGTACACGGCATTGATTTTTGTAACAGGGAGATGGAAGAAGAGGCTTGGTCGGTCCTCTTACTGCAAATTTGGGGCACTGCGGTCAAGCTAATGTGACACCAGATAGGAGTGGAGTGTTTAGTACTATTTTTATCAGTTTAATACCTTCAGCGTCTCCTATCGAGTAATTAAGAGTATTTTGACAGTAATTTCTGTAACAGGCAGATGGAAGAAGATGCTTGGTTGGTCCTCCTAACTGGAGACTGTGTTGCTGTACGGGTGGCAGGTGGAGCCATTTATAAAGTACACACTGCTTTATAAAGCCATTTATAAAGTACACACTGGTGGCTTGAACCCAAGTTGGTGGCGGATAAGTCACGCAAGTCAACAGGCATTCAGAGCTAAAATACAACAGCGTGTGGACCATTTTTAGCCCAAGGCAGCTCATCTCATCAGGCCTTTTTTTACATAGGGTCACTTGGCAGATATGGATTGACACCTGTCCTAGGGATTCCTGATACACACTGACACAGAGCAGAATAGGGACTGTTCCTCCTACATAGGGTCACTTGGCAGATATGGATTGACACCTGTCCTCAGATACCATGATACACACTGACACAGAGCAGAATAGGGAGTGTTACCCCTACATAGGGTCACTTGGCAGATATGGATTGACACCTATCCTAAGGATCCCTGATACACACTGACACAGAACAGAATAGGGACTGTTCCCCCTACATAGCCGGTCACTTGGCAGATATGGATTGACACCTGTCCTCAAGAACTATGATACACACACTGACACAGAGCAGAATAGGGACTGGTCCCCCTACATCGGGTCACTTAGCAGATATGGATTGACACCTTGTTACAAACTGCTATTTGTAACGGGCCCTTTAAATGGCAAATTGCCCTGCTTCCCTGGGTTGTGGAAAAGCCTATTTGCCAGCCTCCTCCCGCATGACTATGGCCCCTGGGAGATTGTGAAAATGTATGCACTTTTATTTGGTGTGTATGGCCTTTAAGACTGTCAGTGGGCATATTGGGGTTTATGGACTCTTTATGTGACTGGTGCTGGCCCTTTAAACACCTTTTTTGGGACATCAGGAAGATTGGGACACTGCCCCTTTAAGGCCGTGTCCCCAGACTTATTGGGGACACGGCCCCTTTAAGACGGTGTCCCCTGTGTCCCCAGACCTGGTGCAAACCCTTTGTGCCTGCCTGGCTATTTCCCACTTGGTTCAGTAAATGGGGCTTACTGAACCAAGTACCACACAGGCAGACCACCCAGAAGTGGAAGTGTGCAGGCAATTTACCTCCCAGAAGCTGCGGTTAACCGCAGCTTAATTGACAATGCTGGGAGGTCTTTGTTCGTTTGCCGAACACGTGGCGGCGGCCATCTTTGATCATTCGACGAGGTCAGCGGTATGTAGCCAAATTCATGGAACTAAAATCGGCTACACATTTCCGCGAACACCGCTGAGCTCTACCTTCTCCCCTACTGGTTTTACAGCTGCAGAGACTAAGTCCCATTCGGCGATGGGACTTAGTCGTTTTTTCAGCCTGAAATAGACCAACCGCACAGCCCCAATCTATGGAACTGTTTTGGGCAGGAAAATGTGCTTGCGGTCGGTCATAAAGGGACCTCCAGCTAACTTTTTAACCCCTGGATGTATTTGGCTGATTTTTGGTTATGTTTATGTTTCAAGTGTGCTGATTCCAAATATGTAATTATGAAGATGGGATGTGTAGTTTTAAAGTTACAGTGTATGGCTAAAAACTGTATTTTTACTGCCTGTGTTTAATTATGTTAATCTCTTCCCAAGCGTCATTTCGTTCAAA